AAAGCAGACGAATTAGGAATATTTCTTGAAGACAAGAATAATCCGAATATTATACTTCTAACCGAGCACTGGCTTAAGGACAGTGGAATTATACCTCTCTCTCCAAATTTTGTCGAAATGCCGGCACTATGATCTTAATTGAGGAGGAATCTTTGGCCAAATATCGGCCTCAAAATATAGCAAAATTTAATTACCTTAATGAAGAAAAAAAATTTGAGTGCTCTGTTTGTTATCTAAAAACCATCAATTTGTATGTTTTGTGCATATACAGATCACCCTACATCTGATGTAAATTTATTATTAACTAATTTAGAGATAATATTGAATGATTTGCCCACCCATGCAAACATGCACTACTCAAATATTAACTCTTGTACCACTCAAGAACTTATAAATTTGTTTAATTCTTTTAATTTGAATATGCATGTTGAATCAAACACCAGAGTCACTAAATATTCCTCATCTTGTATAGACTATATATATGTAGTAATTTTGACATTGGAAATGTTCTATGATCTGTTACATCCTCAGGGATTTCGGATCATGAGGTTATAGAATGTAATATTGTTCATGAGATGGTACCAAAAAATAAAAATAGGATTGGAAGAATCTATAGTAGTGCAAACTATGATAGGTTTTATCAAGTGTGCTAATCTAGACTGGAATGGTACCCTTTTTACACAAGAACCTTTTCTTGCTTTTTACTGTCAACTTATGGAAGTATTCAATGTATCTTTTCCACTGAAGAAAATCAAAATGAAACGGAAAAAGCCTTGGGTAACAGCTGGAATTAAAGTATCTTCAAAAAACATGCGTTCCTTGCATTACATGAAAAAATTCACAAACAATCCTGCTATACATGAATATTTTTTTAAATATCGTAGTATATACAGAAATCTAATAAAATTAACGAAAGAAAACTACTATAAAAATAGAATCAATTTATCAAATAATAAAATGAAGTAAACATGGTCTATCATTAACGATATACAAGATAAGAATGAAAAGAAAAGAATCACCGATATCCCTATCAGCTCAGATGAAATCAATAACTTTTACTGTACAATCGCTAATAAACTCAGTACACATATTTCTCCACCGTACGATCCACTAATCCACCTTGAAAACTTATCAATTAAGGAATCTTTTATACTGCAAGATACTAATATTTATGAGCTTGCAGAAGTGATCAAAGACATAAAAAATAAAAAAGCAGTAGGTTTT